TCCTCTTTTTACACACTTTGACAGCAACTCCTTGGGCCTCTGCTACCGGCCACTGCTCTCTTCAGAGATGCTTTACTGAGAGCGCTGGGTGGAGGAAAGGGTTAGTACCGAGAATGTACAAAAAAAGAATTAAAAGGTGTAGTTGAGGTATAAAACGTTCATATGGGGAGCATAAAAACATTTGAAAATACACCAACAGAAGCTGGGAACAAAGCTTTACTGCTTCATATTTAGGCATGGCACAGCTGTGGCTACAGATGGAAATGCATAAATGAAGGAAACTTCGGAGGAAATGTAAATGCTCTAAGTTTAAATACGAAATCATTATCACATTGCCCCAAAAAAAGACTGAGGAACAACTTGCTAAAGGAAAAAGTTGTTTTGTGCATCCATCAGAGGCATGAAATCTGCAGGTGAGTGATGCTGATGTATGAGCAGAGGGACCAAGGAGGGGCACAGAACAGGCGAATGTGACCCCTCCGTGTGCCCATCCCCGGGGACTGTGTCTCTCAAATCATCCTTTAAATGACATTAAAGCTGCTATTTGACGTTAATTGCCTTTCAGAGGGACTCTGGTGGGATCTATTGCTTCAGACCAGGAAACATAACAAAAATCATGAACACCTACAGAACATACAAGAATTTAATGGAGAAGTGTCATCATCTGTTTGCAGAAGAGTCATGTTTCACGTCTCTCTGCTCATTTCCTCTTGTCTCATTTTCAAAAGTCAACGAGCCCAGAGTGAGGGAAGTGGCATGCTTGGATTTTTCAGGGTTTTTGGTGAGATTGCTCACCAAGAGCATCAGAAAAAAAACAAACCAACCAAAACCTGAGCTGTTACGGGATAAGAAAGGTGCTGTCCTGGATTAGTAAGTGCTTAGTGGGTAGAAAACCAAGTGTTCAGGTTTCACAACATCACAGAAGTCCCCCAGGGGTTTTCTCCGAGATCTCCACTGAGCAGCAATAACAGATCTGCAGGGGAGAGGAGGAAGGGCTGAGTTCTGGCCTTGGCTGCCTTTGTCTTCAGAGCATCGCTGGGAGCAGAGAAAACCCCAAGGAGCTGCAGAGGGATGCAGTGATCCCGGGTGCCTGGGCAGCCAAGGGAGCCGGTGCTGGCAGGGGTAAGATGATGTCGTGTTTGATTCCTCCCCTCCGCCCTGTGCTGGGGACAACACTCGGTGAGTCGGTGCTGCTTGCAAAATGCCCTGAAGTCATTGCCGACAGCCTCGAGCTCGGGGCTTCCAGATGGTCCGGAAGGGAAATAGAAGGGGAGGAAGTTTTGGATGGAAAACAAAGCAGCCTCGTTGTTGTGTTGCTGCCGGACCACGTGGCCCGAGCGTGTGGAGCTGGGGTGTCCCGGCATGTCCGTGTCCTCGAGGGACGTTCACAGGCTGCAGGCGGTGCTGGAGGACTCGACCGAGAGGTACGGAAAAGCTGCTGTGCGAGGAGGGCTTGGAACAAGAGGGATTCAGCCTAGAAAAGCAATGATAGGGGAAAGGAGGATGTCAGGGGAGGTCTCGTAATGTTACATAGAAAACAAAGGCAGAAGGGTGGCCGTTGGCGTGATCGGGTTTGCCGGTGCGAAGCAGAGAGAGGAGAGGTTGTCTCTGCACGGCGCGCGATTGCAGAATTCATTGCCTCAGGCTGTTTGGGAAATGTGAGCGGTTTCAAGAAGCAATTAAATGTGCAGAGGATGGGCACTGGTACAGCTGATGACACAGCTGTCTGGAAGCTTTTTTGGAAACCGTGTGCATTTACTGGATGAGAAATACACATTTGTCTGTACTTACGTGATTTCCCCGTGTGTCTGCTGTCGGTCGCTGTAGGAGACTGGTAAGGGTTTGACAGACGTTTGGTTTAATGAGGTGAAGTCACCGTTGTTTGCTGGTTTAGGGTAAATCTGCAGTGGGTTGTGGAACTGGGGATTGCTGGGTGTTCTCTGCCAGGGCAGACGGCAGTGCCTGGGACATGAGAGGCAGCAGGACTTCCACACTCTCCGTACTTTGATGAATAAGACCCAAGTCCAGTGGCTCTAGGTTCCAAGAAGGAAGCAGCTATTTATTTAAGTATTTTCATAGGGTTGGGGGATTTTTATTTTTGTCCTTTCTTTCTTCGTACTCATAGCTGACACCTGGTGCTTTGCATAGATGCTAAGTTTCTTTTGCCTCCAAAAGAGTGCCTTTCGAATGAAGAGCATCCTGAAGAATGCTTGAGAAGGAGCTCATGTAGGACAATACTTGCACAAATCAAATGAAATCGTTTCGTGTGAAGTAGCTGTAATAATTAAACGGAACTGCAGCTAACCCTTGGTGAACAAAAGATACCTTGAAATGTTGTGCCTCTGCTAAAACATGTTTGCTTGCAGAACCTACTTTGCCAGCTTCCCGAAGCAAAATAACTGCTCACGTTGTAGCAGCACCTGCAGTCATCAAAGGCGAGGATCATGCTGTGCTGAGTGCTGAAGGTGAGTTTTCCAGGTTCCTTTGTGTGGCCCAGGGAGGAAAGGAGGTGCTGTGACCTGTTGGGCATCCTCTACTCTGTAATGTTGGGAGGAGCATCCCAGCAGGAGCTTGAAATGAGCTTGTGTGGTTGTTCCACCGCGATGAACCTGCCGCCCCTAGATCATCTTAGCTGTGGGAAACACAAGTGCTGAGATGCACCTGCCATTGCCTGTGCCTGGAAACCCATCAGAAGAGGCTTCTGAAGTCAAAAACATGGAGCAAAGAGCCCTGTGCTGGGGCAGTTGGGGCATCTCCTGTGGTGTGGAGACTTTGTCCTGCCCATGGTTGACTTTCTTGGAAGGCAGACCCTCATCTTGGCTAAAGAAGTACGGTGCGAAGAAGCTCGGGCTGGGGTCTGCACGGAGCATGGTTGGAGGGAGGTGTCTCTGAGTTTTGTGCTAAGCTGACCTCTAGTACAAAAGGGATGCAGCAGAAGAGGAACCGTGAGCAGCACAGGGAACCTGGCGTTCACTACTTGCAGGAGGGAGCACGGAGATGCCCTGCATCCCCTCCAGACACCCCCTCTCCCCAGGCTCCTGAAACCGTGTCTGGAACCATACTGGCCAAAAAGACTTCAGCACGCCTTGCCAGCGCTTGCTTCTCAAGCAAATGACAAGTGAGATGCTCTGTCAAGGCAGGGGGATTAACTTCAATAAAAGCTAGAATTACTTTTAGAATTTTAATATCACTTTTTGTCTTAGTTTGTGAAGTTGGAATAGAAGAATGTTGACTTTTTCAGTAGGCTGCTCTTTGAGAAAATCAGGATGAGTTCCTTAATAGAGTTAAAAGAAAATAAGTAGTCAGCACTGGGATGCTTTAATAATTTAGTATTTAATCCTATGAACAGTACCATTTGTAATTTAGCTTATGTGGCATTGTACTGACTCAGAGTTCCTGCAAAAGCAAGCTACTTCTTGAATTGTATAACGCTATGAAATCTCCCTTTCTCTTGCTGTATTTCCTTGGTAGGTTGAAGCTATAAAGTCTAAAATACATTTGTCTATTTTGTCAAGACCCGTGGATTAAGCTGTATTTTATAAAGCAACTTTTCATACGACTTGCTCCAAAAAATGCAGGGAGTCTTCTCTGCCACTGCATTTGAGAAAAGAGTGTCTGAATCACCCCAGAACAGGCAGTAAGATATTTCCCTTGGACACTTTGGCTTTTTCTTTCCTTTTCCCTTGTTCGTTGTGTTAAGCATCAGCACTGGGGTTTTTCCTTGACTGTGTTGCTGGTGTATCCACTGCTCAAAGCTTCCTCCATGGAGAGGGCTGTTGGTCTGGTGGGAACATGGAGCAGGCAGCCTGTGAACTGGTTCCTGCTTTAGCTGGGAGTAGATTTTGGACTAAGAAGGAGGATGCCTATTTTGAGTGGGTGTTCAAGTGTTTAAAAGGCTTCTGTGGTGTTCATGTGTTTTCCTTGGCTGTGTTGCTGGTGTATCCACTGCTCAAAGCCTCCTCCATGGAGAAGGCTGTTGGTCTGGTGGGAACATGGCCTGTGAACTCGTTCCTGCTTTAGCTGGGAGTAGATTTCAGACTAAGAAGGAGGATGCCTATTTTGAGTGGGTGTTCAAGTGTTTAAAAGGCTTCTGTGGTGTTCATGTGTGTGCTGCTGGCCCTTCCATGCTTGGGTAAGAGCTTTTGTGGGAGCACTGGGCTTGCCTGAGGGGAAATACTTGCTCATCCCCAGCACCAAGAGGTTCTTCCATAACAGTTTGGGGGTTTTTTTTCCCCTCTTCTTTTGCAGGTGTTTCTTGAACTCTTCAGCGCATCACAGAACTGTTGTGTTTTGGGATATCTTGCTTAAACCTGTGGAAGAAAACCTGCTAAGAGCCAAAAATGACCTGAGTTGGAGAGCTACTGCTTTATGCCCAGGTAGTATGTTGTGGTAGCTTGGTGGTTTCTCAGTTCCACAGCTTGGCAGAGTTTGCCTTTGGCAAGTGGCTCAAGGACGAGTTGTCACTGGGGTCTCTCTGGGATGGGCACTGATCTGGGTGTGCTTGACTGCTGAGGAGTGTCGGGGCACCTGGTGTCTCTTTATCATGAACTTCTGAGTTTCATGCCTCATTCTCTGCTACGTTCGTGTTCATGCCCGTGGTCAGGTAGAAGCTCAGCTCTGAAGATGATGGTGGTGGGATTTGGATATTGGCTGCCTGGGGGCTGAAGGAGAGAGAAGTGGAGGTTTACTGTGCTGCTGGCATGGTACTGGCTGTTGCCTCTAGAAGGGACTAGACGAAAGATTTGAGTGGCACTGGCCTCAGATCACCGTTACGTGGTGTGCGATGGCTGATGGCCACCTCGGGTCTTTCCCCTTGATGTTTGAGGTGATGGACTTCAAAATGAGATCTTCAAACAACCTGAATTTTTTAAATCACCCCTATGGTTTCCCTCTTCCCTCCACCATTGCCCACACGCTGAGGTTTGTAACTATATTTACGCTTGCCAGTGTGGGCATCCCTGACCAAAATGTGTTCCTCTCTCCCAGGACCAGCTTGTCCCATTTGGATGCACCGTGCACTATGGTTCACGTCAATGTGTTGAAAAAATTAATGTGTGTTCTTGTGGTGATACTGGTAGCGCTTACGTTTTGCCTCTGGAGAGAGACGAGAAGAAGCTACTACGTTCCTTTCAAGACTGAGAACAGTGATTTGCAGGTTCACAGGACTTTGGAAAAATGGAACCCACTTAAATCACAGGGCCTTTTCCATGGAGCAGCCGGTGAATTGGGTCAGATACCCAAAACGTGGTTTGGTAACAAAGTAAAAGGCAGCACCTCTGGAACAGCCGAAAAGAAAGCAGCGGAGTCTGTGAAGGTGTGGGATAAGGACAGTTCATCCCGAAATCTCATACCCAGGCTGCAGAAGGTCAGAAAAAACTACCTGTCCATGAATAAGTACAATGTGACTTACAAGGGGAAGAGGAATGCTGCTAAACTCAGCCCGGAGAAGCTGCTCTGCCAGTTACGGGACAGGGTGAACGTGACCATGATACGTGGATCCGATGGCCCTTTTGATACCTCTGAATGGCAGCAATACTTACCAGAGAAAATCCTCAATGAAACGGTGGGCAGCCTGGGTCGCTGTGCTGTCGTGTCCTCAGCAGGGTCTCTGAAATCATCTCATTTGGGACAAGAGATAGGTTGGTACCTTTCAGAATCTCTGTTCCTCTCCGAGGGTACACACCGTGCAGTGTAGGCTGTGTTGTGATGCCCGAGATCGCAGTTACCTGTAAGCCTTAGACCTTAGGTGGACCAAAACGGGCAAGCCCCAAGGGAGTGAAAGGACTGGGTTGAGCGGAGAGGACATAAAGTGTGTGCAGGTAGTTCTGTTCCAGCTAGTTTCTATTTCATGAATGTGTTGGCATCACTAAAGTGTAGCACTGATACTGGATGCTGGAGGGAGGTCTTGATTCCTCAGGTGTTTGTTTCTTGGGAGGGTTTGTAAATGTCAATGCGCTTGTTGCACAGTCTACAGTCAGAAAAGCCTTCATTCAGAAAGATTTCTTCAGAAAAGAAGTAAAAGAAACCACTAAGGGGGTGAAAAAAACACCCAAGCCACTGGCTGCAGCCCAGGGCAATCTGCTGGACTTGACTCAGTGTTAGCAGAGGGGCTGGGCAGGGGGATGCTGTAATTCTTGCTCATGGCTTTCCAGAAGTGGAATTGCCTTAATTCTGAATCACAAGGCAGTGGCTGAGTTTGAGTGGCCCAAAAGACACAGAATAACTTTGCAGGGCTTTATTTGATCTCTTCTTTGAACAAAGTTTAGTGTTGCTTTCCATGGTCTTATCTGACCATGTTTATCTGAAGTTAATGCACTAACAAATGCTGAAGAGTTGAGCCTGTAGTGTGGATTATAAAGTAGTGTGTTTTGATACCAAAACATTTTGTGTCTTTAAATGGGGAAGCCAGCTCTCCAGCCTTTGACTCAGGATTTTGTACCTGGCAGAAAATCCTCCTGTGCGTACAGTTAGTTCCCTTAGCTTGCTTCAGTAGTTCTTGTTTGAGGCTCAGTTAAGATTCACACCTTGCTGAACTGCAGCTTCTCTGAAGGAGAAGTTTTAAAGCCCAAGAGTTTCTCTCCGGTGGTAAATTGTTTGCAGACTTCAGTGTGTCTGTAAGATGTCTGTTGGATCGTGTCCCTTTGGCCTGCACTAGGCTGCGAGTAGCCTTCATCCTCTGAAACGAGTACACAAATAGCTTTTAATACATTATTCATGGATAGCTTGGGCAAAGCCCTCAGAATTGTAGTCCCCAGATGCTTGTATGAGGGTCACTGTTTTGTTCTGGCACTTACTCAGAAGCTTTCCCCAGAACTCCTCTGTGGGTGGGTAGGCAGGTGCTAGAATGAGGTTGAACGACATGAAGTTTGCTAAAATGCTATGGAAGATGTGGTGAAAAGGATAGTGGTGGTGTGAACCAGGGGCTGCCTCCTGGGGAAAATGACAGGTGGGAGTTGGTTGATGTAGTTGTTTCCGCCTCTTGGGAGTGTTTGAGGCCAGGTGGGTCAAGACTTGGGAAGCCAATTCTGACTTAGAATCATAGAATCACTAAGACCTCTAAGACTATCAAGTCCGAATGTCAAGCCAACACCACCATGACCACTAAACCATGTCCTGAAGTGCCACATCTGCACTCTTTTTTTAATGCCTCCAGGGATAGTGACTCTGCCGCTTCCCTGGGTAGTCTATTCCAATGCTTCACCATTCTTTGAACAAAGAAATTTTCCCTAATATCCAGTCTCAATCTACCCTGGCACAACTTGAGCCCGTTTCCTTGTCCTTTGGGTACCTGTGTGGGCTTGTTTAGGTGCCTCTTGAAGTTTAGAAGCTCAGGCTTTCTGCACAAGTGACCTTAACACCCTCCCCTGACACAGCTGGCTTGTCTCCAAGGGTGTCTGTTGGCCTCCAGCATATTGATAAAACTGGAAGGACACCCTCCCAAGAGCAGATAGTGGTGTTCATGGCATGTGGCGATGGAGTCCGTGCAAGCTCTGGGTTCGGTATCAGAGCAGCCAAGAAGTGCAATGGGCTGAGCTCCAGCTGCGAGGACGTCGGATGCGGAAAGCCCTGTCATTGTTCCTATGGCCACTCTCTGAGCCCGTCCCCAAAACTGAAGTCCCAGTTTGTTCCAGATCACAAGGGATGGACTCTGGAAAGGTCACTGTGCAATGTGCCTGAGGCGAATGCCATTAACCCCTGCTTGTGTCGCTGGGTTTTATTCCTCACGCCTGGGTCACAGATTTAACCTTTTTGCTCATGGGGTCATCTCTGCTAGTGATTCTGTGCGGTTTTTGGCCACCCACTGCCTTGAGCTACACAGAGTGAGTATCAAAGGTATCGGGAGTATTCAGTGTATTTATGTATAGTTTTTTTCCCTGGTTTTGACCTGACTTATTTCCATGTAGGAAAATCTTATCGTTTTGTTGGAGGAAGGTGCCAAAAAGGTACTAAATACAACAGGCTTAAAATGAAACATTTGTGTAGATGAGCACAATGGATTGCTGAATTGTTATTCCAGGAAATTTTGTTCTGTATAACCGTGTTAAGATCTCAAATGAAGAATTAGACGATGTGAGGGAGGCTGGTGAAGCAGAACACGGAGAAGCTTATAAACAGGCAGCTCATATCTTACTGGGCTTTTGGTGTTACTGGAGGTTATGAATTGCTAGTGAAAAACCTCATCCTGAGTGGAGCACAGCTGCCAGGAGACAGGCTTCAGAGAGCCAGTTATTCTGCCCCCACCATCATTAAACAGCCTTTTAAAATGCAAATTTAGGGAATAACTTGGTGCCTGGCTGAAGTTAGGTGGGGCAGTTATAACCCTGTACTCCATTGATGCCAGGGAGGATGTGGAGCTAAGGGTCTGTAGTAGTAACTACAGAGCTGCTTCTCAGTGGGGACACGGGGCTTTCTGGGGGAAACGTCACCTTTCTGGGTTTTGCGTGTTGCTTCGGGAGGGCTCTAAGCAAGATCCGTGACATTGCGGCAGTGCAGCCGGCTGTGCTGAGGCAGAGGAGGGTGCTGGAGAAATGCTGCGCTCTCTTAAGAGATGATGCCAGCAGAGGGAAATGCAGTGAATCCCAAGGCATGTCACAAGCCGTGCCTGTTAAATGCACAGCGGTGGTTTTCTTTCTGCAGCGTGGGAGGTACGCTGGCAGGCTGAAGTCAGCTCTGCTTTCCACTGTGGTTATTATACGTGTTTCTGAGGCTGGTCAACCTCCAGGCTGCAGAAGAGGATGCTGGCTCACCGTTATTTCCCAGGTCTTTAGTATGCAGCCAGCCACGTGGTAAATTAATTGTGTATTGGTCTACCCTCTGGTAAAGGGTTTGGAAGGAAGAAGAGGGAGAGGGAGGGAGACGCTGTGCTCCTCCGTGCAGAGCAAGGGCTAGGGCTGCTCTCAGCCTGCCACCCGACTGTAGTTTTCAAAAGTGGCGCTTTTTTTAAGGTGTAGTGATCTTGAAGTTAGACTCACAGCTTCTTCCACAGAATCTGGCTTGGTGCTTCTAATTGTTCTGTGGAAAGGCAGGGACCAGTGAGGTTGTATTAGAAACACAGGCGGATAACCTATTTTATGTCTCTTCTGTCACTCCAAGATGAGGTGTTAGCTCACAGGTTTTTGCTCTCTTTTGCTTTCAGACAGCCATGATGCCATCTTGCGATTCAATGGGGCTCCTACCAAGGGCTTTCAAGAAGATGTGGGACAAAAGACAACAATTCGTCTTGTGAACTCCCAGGTGGGTCTGACAAATATGTACCTAAGGGGTCCTGTGCTGCTGGGGAGCTTCTGGGTTCATCTGCTGTTAGGAGGTCATGAAGCTGGGAAGAATAGAACTTTGAATCTAATTTCTCTTGTCCCTAGCAGATAGCCGTAGGATGGGAACGTCTTTCATTATAATGGGAGACTGTTGTTAAAGCAGAGGTTACTGCAGTTGAAGTAGCACGTGCTAGCAAACCTGCAGTAGCCTGCTTGCAATTGATGGTGGGCACAAGGTAAATTGATGTTTGCCTTGGCTTGAAGCCTCTTTGTTAGTACAGGAAGTGCAGCTGCACGTTTGTGGTGCAGCTCGATTAACCCTGCTCGGCAAACCAGGGTGTGCCCAGCGATGAGATGTGCCTGCCCCAGAGATGGGTATGAAGAATGAAGGAAGTTATCTGGCTTTTAATAAAAGAACAATACTTCTTTTCTGCCCAGCAGTGTTGCAGACACTGTAGATAACACATTAACCAGGGCTGTTAAATGGCTGAAGACGGTTGACAAAGGACCCACCTTTAGAGCTGTAGCCTTCACACAGCCAGGAGAGGGAGTGGACCCTGGTGGGTGATAGTCACAGGGTCCAGCAACTCATTGCAGAGCGTGGCAGAAAGTACAGTGAATCACCCAACCTTTGATGCAAGGCGTTCCTCACCAAGTTAAGTTTTCGGTGACTCTCTGAGAGCTCTTTAGGTGTGAGGCTGGCCCTCTGCTAATTTTCTTCAGACCTCACTAGGCTTTGAAGCAGACTCTCTGTGGTTAGGACCATGTCTAGCAACAGAGGGAGGACAATGCCAGCCCTTCAGGAGCAGCGCGAGACCCGCGACCGGTAGCGTTTGCACCCTACTTCCGTATAGCTGTTATCCTTCATGTTTTGAGGAGAGAAATTCTAAAGTGTAGGCATGTGGAGAGAAATTCTGAAGTGTAGGCATGCAGAGAGAAGAGGAAATCATGGTAGTGTGTGCTGGTGAGGGAACGGAGTGAGACAGTAAAATACCAATATGTTGGCTGACAGACCTGGTGCAGCGCTGCAGCAGGGAGTCGGAGCGGTTCCTCACCCGGGACGAGGGGCAGGAGGCTGTAGGCATGTGAAGACTGAAAGGGGGAGTGGGGGAGAGATGGGGCATGGAAGCGTAGCCTTTGTACTCCAGAACCAAAAAAGGCAGTTTCCTGCCCTCACCCCAAAGCTAAGATTTATAGGCCCGCAATTTTCTCATGTGCTCCTATGAGAGGAGTCCACGGGTGCTGCCATGTAACAAGATTTGAAGTTTCTCAGAGCAGCAGCAGGAGCTTGGCCACCTTCTTTGAGCACAAGACGTGGAGCTGGCTTATAACCAGTTTCCCCTAAGGACATTTTGTGTGTCTTTTGAAGTATGTTCTTGCTTCTCATGCAAATGCTGTTGCTGCCTCTTTCTGCTCCTGGGTCTCGCCTTCTCCTTCTCCCTTTGCTGCCGTGCTCTGTTCTGCTGTTCGCTGCATCTCAATTTGGCCACGTTAAACCGCCCGTCAGATGTGGGACAGGTTATCTGCTCTGAACCGATCTGGTTTTAGCAGACAGATTTGGCTGCTGACATCCTTCTTCCTCTGCTCTGCTTGACCTCTCCTTTTTTTTTTTTTTTTTTTATTTTTCCCTTTTTTTTTTTTTAATCTTTCCCTTCTGTGCTGCGTATTTTCATGTCAGATAGGTGTTATCGCCTAAGAAAACTTTGACTGGAGGATGTGCTCATTGCCAAACTTACTGTGATACGACATCATTTACCAGCAGAAGCATGGATGTGACCTGTGGGACACCAGGGTTATTTGCACAGGGAGGAGGGTGGCTGTCTCATTGTATGGCTGTAATATAGCACTAATAGCTCTCCACAGGGTTGCTCTTATTTTAGACCAAATGTAGTTAGAGCCATGTCATTCTAGCGCTTCTGTTCTTCATGCAGATCAGCCTGCAGCCATGGTGGATATTTTTTAATGTGCTGCCATCCCCTCTGATTGGAGCCACCAGCTTAGGAAACTTCAATTATAGGGAGAGCAAAATGGTCACTGCTTTTAGAGGCAAAATTAACTTGGCCACTCTTCTTTTGAGTCTTGCCTACTGATCAGTCTTCAGTCCGTTCCCAAAATGAAGGGATCTCCTGAATCTAATCTGGCAAAACTAGTCTGTGTTGGGTAATATCCCTTTGGCATGTGCAGCCAGTGGCCCTGACTTGCTTAATAATTATTTTAAGATAGTTTTTGGTAATTTGCTGACCAGTCATTAATGCACATATCTGGGGGGCGGGTGGTTTTAACAGTAGGGTGGGCTATCTTGTACATGCATCGGAAAGATTAGCAGATTGGAACAAGCAGGAGGGTGGGAAATTTGGGATCCTCATATGTGAGGATAGGCTTGTAGATCCACAAGCTCAGTGGTTGTTGTAAAGAAATTCTTTAACGTTGCCTTGCTTATTTTCTTAGACCGTCGCTGGTTCATCAGCTTCCTTTAATTGCATATTTTCCTGCAGTCTTGCACAACGTGTTGATTTGCCCTGGGAAAGCAGTCACATCTTGCAAAAATAAGGGCTGCAGATCATGCAGGGGGGGAACTGCCAATGTCATTCTGTAGGACAACTCCTTTTTGCAGAGCTGCCCAAGGACCAGAGTACCTCCTTCCTCCCAGCTCTTGTTTGCAGCTCCCCTTGGCTGATTTCTGGCTGTAATGGGGAGCACTCTCTGCTGTAGCTGCGTTTGTCGCCACTGGCCCTAACAAGGCTGCAGGGAGGAAGAGGGAAGAGATAGTACATTGGTGGGATGGGAAAGGGGAGCGTGTTTAGATTACGGGGCATTGACTGCGGAGGGAAGGAACTCGGTTTGATATGGTCAATAAACATACCAGGAGGGCAAGGGCTCTATTAGCAAGATGCTTGCTGAACAGCCAGTTGGCCAAAGAGCAAATGAACTAGGAAATCAGTAGATCACTTAATTAATTAGGGTCAAAAAAAAGCTGGGCAAGACAAGCAAGTCATGTAGCAATTTAAATGAATATGACTTCTTGGAGAGAAACAGTCACTATTAAACAGAACAAATGGGCACTAAGGGTATCTGGAGAGCCAGATTTCCTCCAGCAAGCGGGTTAAGTGACCGGCAGATGACTAGTGGTGCGGAGAGCTGGAGGTCGTCTCCATCTCCTTTCTTATCTCTTTGCTTTTGTGCCCGTCACAGCTCGTTGAGGCTTTTTGTGCCACTGCCAACTCACGTGGCTTCACTTTGTCTGATGCTCTGTCTCTCTCAAATCCTCCTTTCACGTGCTTCACGTCAGGCAAGCTCCTGAAAGATTTCTAGCCTTGAAATAGAAACAACAAAAATAAAAATCAAGCAGCTGCGTCCCTTGTCCTGTTCCAGTCCCATTGCAGTGCTTCTTCCCGCTCGTGCCAGGCCGAGGGGATGGCTGGTGCCATCTGGCTCCTTCCTTGCCTCTGGTGTGCATGGACCAGAGGCAGAAGCTCTACACCAGCAGCCTCGCGTGCTCCTGCTGACAAGTGGCCTAGTTATTTTTATCTAGTTTAAGGAAATGAAAGCAGGCGGTACGCTTGGTCAAGGCCCAAAACCTAATCCAACAGAGTGAAGAACAGATGTGAGGCAACCCTTTTCAATTCTGAATTAATTGACTCTGAGCTGGTCAGCACATCCTTGCGCTCTGGTTGTGGGGGCAGCCAGGAAGGCAGCCAACCTGCTACTGGGGACAGCCGAGGTGCTTAGGGGTAAATTGGTGAGCTCGTAATTAAATCTGTGGAGAAAATCAAGACAAACGAGAGCTGATGTTTACAATGATGCTTGTCTTCAGCAGATATTTACAAGCAGTGCCTGTACAGGTTATGCCTTTGGGTGGGGAGGACAGGAGATCTGTCCTTGTCTTGTCAGGGCTTGTAAGAAAAATGGGGACAATCTTTTTGGCAGGACAAGGGGTAATGATTTTAAACTAAAAGAGGGTAGACTAGATATAAGGACACAATTTTTTACAGGGATGGTAAAACACTGACACAGGTTGCCCAGGGTGGTGGTAGAAGCCCCATCCTGGAAATGTTTAAGGTCTGGTTGGACGGGGCATTGAGCAACCTGATCTAGTTAGAGATGTCCCTGCTTACTGCAGGACACTTGGACTAGATGACCTTTAAAGGTTGCTTCCAACCCAAACCTTTCTATGATTCTGACTGCCTTTTGCTGGGGGTCACGAGCTGTGATGGTTGTGTCCAAGCTGTAGGGGACAGCTTCTCTGTTTGAACCACCTGATGTTGTTCCTTTGAAAAAGTCTTTGATGGAGCAGTTTCTCTCCACTTATCCTTTCTCTAGCCCCCGTTCATTGCTGTTGTTTTGCTTTCCTTCCCAGTGCTGCTCTCATGAGATCCAAACCTCCTTTGCCTGAGCTGCACCTGAGCTGGTGGGGCTCAGTGCAAGGGTCCGCTGGGGGGCCATGGGCTCTGATGTCCTGCACCAGTGGTCTCACAGCAAGTTGGCCCAGCACGGAGCCCTGGCTGCCTGAGTTCATGCTGTTTAGGAGAAACAACCCACAGGCAGATTTTTTTTTTATGAAGATTCTTGATAAATCCAACAGTGTTGTTCGCATTAGGCTCTTCCTGGGCTGTCCTGGCAACTGGTGGCAGCAACTGATGTTCTCACCTGCTGCTGGTAGTTGTAGTGATGGTCTCCACCATACAGGCTGGGTCACTCTCTGGGTCATGGTCTTTATTTTATAACTGAAGATGGATAGAGAAAACCGTGTAAGGCACAGTGGTGTTTTTTCTTGTGGCTCTCTGCTAAATCCTGTGCCTCTAGATGGGACTGGAGAAGGTGTTGGAAGGGCATCCTGGGGAGGTTGTGTCCTTGCCTGCATGCAGTGGGTGTGCTCAGTAAATGGCAGCGAGGAGGCAGGGGTTATGCTCAGGTATGTTTTACTGCTTGGCTGCCTGTTAATTCTGACAGCACGCTGTATTATATTATTGTATTTCCTGTTGTTATTCCAGCTTGTGACTGTTGAGAAGGAGCAGTTCCTGAAGGACGCACTATATAACACTGGAATCTTAATTGTCTGGGATCCAGCACCGTATCATGCAGAGATTCATGAGGTAAGGCTTAGCTTTCTGAAAATAAAATCAGATTCATACACTTTGAAGTGCATTTGTTAAGCTGCTTCCTCCTAATGTGGGCAATCGCTCATTTTAAGCCCATTGTTCTTTACGACTTCATTATCACGCGTATATTAGTATGTTGGTATTTCAAGCACCAGTCAGATATGAGATACACTTGATGCATTACGAATGGATTGGGAAACTCTATGAGTATCTTACCAAATGTCTCCTCTGTGCATCAGCTAGGCTTTCGCTTGTGGGTGTTGCAATCCCTCTAGCACTCACTTTTCATTTTGAGTACAAAAGGGCGTTATTTGATAAGTGATGAGCTTTGGAGGCTCAGGGTGAAAGCAGGTAGGAGTGACTAGTCCATTCTTTACTTTTATCCTGAGCTCTGTCTGTAACTGAGAGGCCTTTGCCTTCCTTTCTCTGGCCTTTTCTCGCCGATGTTTGTTCTTGTGTCCAGTCCCACAGCTCCGGGAGATGTGAGGGTGCATGTACAGGGTGTTTAAGAGTCAGTAAAGCCAGAGTGGGGTATTTTTAGCATAAATCTCAAAATGACTGTAAGAAAACATAAACCCTTCTTAAGTGTTTGTATTGAAAGGAGAAGTTTTAGTATGGAAATAGCTGTTTTAAGGAAGCTGTGCTGGAGACACTTCCCTGCAGAATGGGATGCTTTGTACGCCAGCATGAACAGGGGTCGACATCTGTAACATTTAAGGCAGAGTTCTCAACATTATCTGCTGTTGGGGGTTCAGAATGAAATTACACAAGATGCTGATCTCATTTAATTGTCCTTCCCTGAGATGGGGAATTTCCCACATGGAGGTATAGCAGGACCTTTTTTTCCCAGCAGCAAGTTCACTTGTTCATGTTTTGTGGTGGTTACGGGGAAAAAGCAGACTAGAAATAAAAAGAGTCTGACTTCTTGTTTCTGTCTTGCAGTGGTACAGAAAACCAGATTACAACTTTTTTGAAAGCTACAAGTCGTATCGTAGTAAACATCCAGAGCAGCCTTTCTATATCCTGAATCCAAAAATGCAGTGGCAGCTCTGGGATGTTCTGCAGGAGAATTCCTTGGAGCATATCCAGCCTAATCCACCGTCGTCAGGAATGCTTGGTAAGATAATTGCCCTCTCAACTTCTTCAGTTTGCAGGCAGGAGCTTCCCTGGATGTCTTCAAAAAAACCCCCCCCCTTCCTCCAAAGACAGCTACAAATTTATGTTGCTTATCATAGCTGCCTGTCTTATGCCAAAATTTAAGCTTCCTGTCTTTAAAGCAGCAGCTCAGTTGTGTTAAAGTAAGCGGTCTGCAGCATCCCTGTGAAACAGCAGTTACAAATATGGCTTGTTTCAAGGAGAGCAGATTGCAACCTTGAGGTGGTCTCCAGGATTTCTAGCTTCTAGTGCCAGAGCAGTTCCCACAGGGTGTGGGCTTGAATCTTGTCAGGCAAATAGATCTGCAGATGGAGTCCAAGTACTTCTGGTTACTGCTGATGACCTCTAAGTGCCTCCCTTATTATGCTTTCCGTATATAAATATGTAAATATATATATGTATATGGAAAAATATGTGGCTAAAGGCTTACTGGGGGGCGAGGGGTGGTCTGACTGAATAGCTGCCCTGAAAAACTCAGCGATATTCTCCTTTATTCAGCATGCTAACATCTTGCTTGGCAGTGTGCTCAATCCAGCCTCTTGGCAAAGGGGCTGGTTTTACATTGTGCTGTTGCAAAGCTTTTCCTTCTTGTTGGAGAGCAGACCTCCTGACTAGCTGAATGAAAAAAAAAGCGAACTTCTCGGGAAGTTCACGTGTATTTGAAATTGCGGCGTGGATGCGTGGTCTTGTTTGCCGTGTGGATGCCCAACTGCTCGGCTTCAGCCCCTCCTGTCTCTGCTCCCATCGCTGCTGAGGCACGGGCACCCTTTTACCTCTGTGTAAAGAGTCACTTATTTTTGCCAGTCAAACATCTATAATTTTCTTCCACAACTTTGCTCTTGCCCTGTTTCTGGGATGTGTGCAGAACAACTGCGTGCCAGCACAGTCGGTGACTTCAGCAGCAAAATTGCTGTTAACTGGAGTTTCAGGGGCTTGAAGGCAGGCACGGGTCCGTGTCACAACGGCACATTCCTCTGTGGCTTAACTTTGGGCCAAGTTACCCACTTTGGAAAACAAGTCACCTTGCAGGGCTGCAGAGGAGCTCCACTTCGCAGCTCTGGATTTCCTGGAAGGCCTAAGCATCGGTGAAAATTGTTGTTTGAAAAGGTGGATGAAAATGTGTTTAAAATGCCCCTTAATTAAACAACTGGTTTCACGAATGGGTTAGTCTGATGTCTTGTAAACTGTGGTCCCTGACGTCCCAGATGCTTCCTGAAGCTCTTGTGGCACTGTCCATGAGTTCAGTTTCCCTAGTACCTTCTCACTGCTTCTTGCACTTGGAAGACAAGCAGCCAGTGGCTATGCCTAACCGCTGATTTGGCCAGAATGTTGATGGTTCTGTGCCCAGCACTGACGTGAATGTCCTTGGGTGGTTCCTGTGCCCGGCAGAAGACACGGAAGGGCAGCGCTGCTCTTCCACGGGGCTGCTGGGGTGGCCCGAGGAGCTGCTCCACCGCCGGGAGCCATCTCCAGCCCAGCCCCTCTCCAACCAGCCACGGCGTCCCTGCGTTCCCGAGAGGCGGGTGGGGAAATGTTAGATTGCCTCCCTGGATTGACACGATGATGTCTGCCACGATAATGTCTGCTTTCTTCCCTTCCCTAGGCATCGTGATCATGATGACGCTCTGTGACGAAGTGGACGTGTACGAATTCCTCCCGTCCAAGCGGCAGACGGACATTTGCCACTATTACCAGAAGTTTCATGACCGTGCCTGTACCATGGGAGCTTACCACCCACTCCTGTTTGAGAAAAACTTGGTGAAGCACATAAACCAGGGCACAGATGAGGACATCTACACTCGCGGGAAAGTTACTTTGCCCGGCTTCCGAAACGTGCATTGCTAGCGCATCGGTTTTTAGTGTTTTAGGAATTTTTCTTGAACCGTCAAGGCACTTTTTTTAAATCAGGGTTGTCAGATTCGTTAGGTCTAAACACTGGTGTGTTTTGACGGCTCTTCCGCGTTGCAACACTTGCTCTTAGGGCTTCGTTGCCTAACTTCTCCCAACTGTAAGGCAGTGTTAATACGTTGTGGTACATCCACGAGGTATCTGCATGAGCCACTGCAATAAATAGACTCCCTGTGGAGCCGGGCTCGTGCAGCAAGTGGATATCTCTATCTTCATCTCAGCGCACGATGGTGTACGGGAGACGCAGGAGATACTTGCAAAGCAGAGATTGCACAAGTCGGGATCAAGTGCTGAATATAATTCGGTTTGCTTCGAAGAGGTTATGGCAGCCAAAACCCTGGTCCACTGAGAAATGAGAAAAATGGTGTTAAAATTTGTTCCTGTAGTCCTAGGAGCTCTTTGGATTGGGGCTGGTTTATGGAAACGCTGTCAAAGCTGTGTACTGATAAGCTAAACTCGTAGTCCAAAAATATTTGATTTTATAAATGGTTTGTAAAATAACCATGGCAACTGCCTTTCAAGTCATAAGGCTTCCAAAACCATTCAGGTGGTGTTTTTGGCAAAGGTAGAGGGAGGCAATTCACAACTCATCGATTCTTGCAAGACTTTTAAAATCTTTTTACTTTTTTTTTTAATTGCTTAAAATAACAAATTTTAGTGAACGTTTACTTCTCCAGTACGGTGCTGTGCTTGGTGCAGAAGCAGCCTTATTTCAGAAACAGTTTGGGGAAGATGCTCTGAGGCAGAAATGGGAGAACTCGCTGGAAGCTGGTACCTCCTTCCAGCTGATCTACCTTTGCAACTGTTGGCAAATTTTTCGCTGGCTCATCGCCAGGAACAGAAACGGCGCGTAGCTGCTGCTAGATGAGTTCCAGTTCTCTGCAGGCTAACCGAGCTGATCTCTCAGCTGCTGTTGTGTTTTTTCCAAATAGGTGGGGGGCAGACGCATCGGTTCCATGCTTCAGGTGGGGAGGGAGAAAGTGCTCGGCTCCTCGTGCTGAAGCAGAACCTGGGATTGTACTGACGTGTTTTGTGATGTCTGTAAGGAAAGCTTTCTCTTCTGTTCTGAATAAATCCTGTGAAGTCATTGTCCCATTCTTGCCTTGGTGAAAGCCTTCTTTAGTATGTGCTCAGTTGGGATGTGAACAGTTTCTGCCTTTATTTTTTTTTTCTTTCTACCTAGGCTATCTCACTTGTTATTTCTCATGATGTTATTTTCTGACACTTTCCCTGTTGGGGTGACCGGACCAGCCACCCCTCTGGGCTTTGGCCATGTCATGGATGGGTGGTACCTTACTGAGAGAAGGAAGCACAACCTGCCTGCCCTCCACCCGGGGGTCCCCCAAACCACCTTCTCCTCTGCAGTGCTCCTGCAAGAATTCAAAAAGTCAGCCAGGCTCCCCAGGGTCTTTCAGAGCCCTCGGTTACTTGTGGGCAATAGCATTGCACTGGGCGTGAAATGTAAAATATTATGCTAACAGTCTGAGCTAGATCCAACATGTGATTCATTTACAGTCTAAACAGAGTTTTACAGGAATTATGACTGAGCTTAAAATAGGCCAGTGTTAACCCTCTTTTTTATCTCTTTTTGGCTGCATAGATCCAAATCTAGTATGAATTGCAAGTGATGACAAGCTTGGTATTTAGAAGAGCTCAGTTTAAGTTAGTGCGTAGTAATAGCCAGACTGTAGCAAAAACCTTATCCCTCTCACCGTCTCTGTTTTCAGAGAGTGAACGGCTTTCTGTCCGCGTGCAAAGTGGGAAAAGGAAAATGCTGCCTTTTCCAGTTCGCCATGAAGGGCTAAGTACTGGGGAAGATGCTCCATAGTGATCTGGGAAGGGTGTGGGACGAGGTCAGCAAGTCTGGGAAGAAGGAGAACGAAGGAATTATTCAAGGTTTTGTTGTAGGGATGATCTCTCCTCTTGGTGTTGTTTCTGTTTCTGAATATTGCGTAGAAGTATTCTTCCTTAGCTGTAACATCGTAACTCTTCCCTGCAGAATAAAATAATCTATAGCATGTACAGAAGCTACAGCCTTCGAAGTACTGAAAGGAAAAGGGCTGAAAGGGAAATACTGGAAGGTGGTGGGAAGTCTACCCTGATTTCAGAGAGGTGTCAGCACTGAATTGTCTTGTTTAAACTTTTCATTAGCCACTATTCCACCTATTTCTGCAACTTTGCTGACTAATTGGCAGTGTGACAGTGGACTGGGTGACAAATAGTCGAGATACCTGATTTCTTAGTGTGGGCTTTTTTGCCATTTTGTAAACCTAGCTGATCCTGATTATAAAAATAGCTTTAAAGACCTGGAATTGCAAAACCAGAGACTGTTTCTGTGTAGGAAATGTCAACCTTAGGTAAGGCTTGTGGTAATCAAATACTATAATTTAATGAGACAAGACAGTGAAAACTGATTCATGATGTTAAGATACCAGGAAATGAAAGGCTTTGCTTTTTTTTTTGCCTTTTTTTTTCACCCTGCACACTCTAAATATACCCGTTTTACAAAAGAGCCTGATCTGAAATGTATTAACATGCGATACAGAGGAAAGATTGTTCTTGATCTGGCACTCAAGCTGGAAGCTGTTTCTTCCTCTTTGCCTTTAGATGATGTGGAGAGGCAGCGTTTGGAGACGTTATCTGGCGAGAGCAGAGCTTGGGGAGGGGGTAAGTGCAGCTGTTGGGGGCTCATGGTTGTAAAATGTAAAAGCCATGATGGTATGTTACTGGCAGAGGGACACTGGACTTCATTGGCTTTGAAGGAGACCTTTCGTTGTCTGGGCTGACAAAGCTGCTTTTTTTGGTTGGTTGGTTTTGCTTTCACTAAAGAAAAAAGGAGGAAAAAAAAAAGGAGAGGAAACTCCCAGAAATTTGAATTGCATACCTGAGTCAACACACCCTTCTTCACCTTCTTGAGAAGAATAGAGTGGTTGAGTGGGAACTAGAGGGGACAAGACACAGGTACACCAACAGTGACAGTTGAAAAGTAGACGCTGGCACTTCCTGGAGAGAAACACAAGCGGCCCCAGCCACATATTTCTTTTGTCTTCTGTGCCCACACCCAACTAAAGGTGCAGGTATGAGCAAGGTGGCTTATGCTCCTCTGTTGTGTGCCATGAGATCTGATGCTCTTGCCCAGCACTGCAGATGTTTTTCCACTTGGGAGTTGTACCAGCCTGGTAGGGAAACGTGTTCACTTGCTTTGGGTGATGATAGAAGGCCCGGAGCAGAAGCATCAGGCTCCGTTTTGGAGCAGATAATTTGTGTGCCTCAACCATCTATAGCTTAGGTCCCGGAGCGGATGCTCAAGCAATGATATACCACAGGGATGGAAATTTCTTGCCTTGTGAAAGGTGTGGTCTGACACACAACACCGGGACTGGTCGTCCCGAAAACACAACGGAGGGAGATCTGGTGCCTCCAGGAGTTGGTAATGCACAGCTCATGTCATGCACAACCTTGTCTGCTCTTCTAGAGATGGGTACGGAGGGCTTCCTTCAGGGAATCTGAGGATTGCAAACACAGCACCCTAACGCTATCCCCACTGAAAAAGGAAGGAGATGTCATAGGGGACAGGTTTCATGCTCCATCTTTCATCCAAATCCTGTGAAATGCCTTCCTCTCTAGAGACAAGTGGCCCCTGTGGCTACAGACCCTGTTTTCAGGTGGGATCTCTGGTCATAGTCCAGGGAGAGCTCCAAAACTTGCACATTTGTCATTCGTTCACCTGTTTGTTTTTCTGAGTGTGTGTGCTGGCAGCCTTCACCTGCCTCCTGCGATAAACTTCATGGGTAAGAGAGGGAGAGTTTTTTATCAATTGCATCTTTAGACAGCCAGGTCAGACCTGAAGCCTAACGCTCTACCACAGATCTTGTATTCAATGTACAAAGAGGAAATTTAAGCAATGAGTATTAAAAAAAAAAAAAAAAATCCTCTATGTTTTGGAAAGATACATGGGCATTTGCAAGGACAGAATGGAAGGTGAACAGGGAAAAACTGACCACAGAAATGGTCTGGAAAAGTGTGTGTCTAGTGCAGTTTGTTCCAAGTAACTCCCTGAAAGCCAGAGAAGGGGAGGAGCAGAGAGAATCGACTGTAAGTGGTTTGGTGCGAGTAACTTCTGGCAGAAACTAGATCTCTTTAAACAGAAACAGATACTTCCCAAAACGCGGTGACCTTGCTTTGCTGTCGCAGTGCCAGTGCTGAGCCTGCTGCTGGTTTCGCAGGTCGGCGTGCATTGAAAGCTGTGCTTCTGGGAACAGAATCAACTCGGAATGTCTTCATTGCCATTCACGCAAGTATCTTGCAGCGCTTTTCCTGCCTGGCTCTGGTGTCCTTTACAAAAAACAGTAGCAAGGCCCTTCCATGGGCCAGCACCGCTTCAAACCCGTGGCGACCCGCTTTTCAGCAGAGGCTCGTGGCCGTTCTGCATGCCAGAAGAAGTTACAGATTTAATAGGGGAATGCACAGTTTGCAGTTTTGAGGAATTTAGAATTTTGTGAAGCCCCTGAGGTGGAACAAGGTTTGCTCTAACAGACCAACAGGAGCTTTCAAAATCTTATCTAGTCGCTCTATAAACATAGAAGTTACCTCCATGTGAATTTGGGAGGATTCATGAGGTCATGACTATCGACATATGAATGAAGTTGTGATGTGATTAAATCAGCCAAGCTTTTGCCTATCCTGCTCTTTTAAAGTTCCTTTCCATCCCCAAACATTCAACGTTTCTACAATTCCAGAAAAGCACTTTGGTGTGTGTGTGTAACTCACACGGAGCCCTTGACGGGTGCTCACCCGGGGATGCTGAAGTGCCCTTGGCCACTGCGGGTCTATACGCCTAACCTGTCAAAATGTAGAATATCTGAGTCCCCTGATAGTGAAAGACAATGATGAAGTGTAGGGCGCTGGATGGTGAAAATGGTGTTTGTAGTGTTTATTTCCATTCCCAAAAGGAAAGAAAACCACTGCTGTGAAGGTCAGTTGCATTTCATTAAAAGCCAGTTTCAGGAACGTCCAGCAGCGAAAAAGTGAATTGCATGCTCGACGTGTGGTTTAAATA